AATTGTAATTTTGAACAAATCAGACCAATCATATAGACCAGTTTTGTGATTCATTTAAAAGGTTTGACTCACTACAATGATTTGTTCATTAAACACTCAAAATCCTTTAGACAAGTTTTGCGATTCCGTTAAAAAAATTACTTAAAAGAATAATTCACTCACAAATTGGACAGAAAGTATTTAGGTATTCTGTAAAAAGATTTTACTCAAAAGAGTGAGTATCATTTAGCATATCATTCAAACCGTTTTTGTGATTTAATGGAAAGATTTGATTCATTCAGACAGATCATTTTTGATGCAATAAATAGTTTTGACTCATGCCTACTGTTTTTTTTTATTTTATTTAAAAGATTTGACAATTGATTTGTTCACAAATCATTCAGGCCTTTTTATGATTCAATTCTTTTATTTGACTCATTCACTCATTTTTGTGATTAAATGATAATATTTGACTTAAACGAATGTTTTTTTTTTCTTCAGACAAAATCATTTAGACAGGATTTGTGATTTATTTATAAAAAAGACAAATCTGACCAATCATTCAAACCAGTTTTGAGATTCATTGAAAAGTTTGAATGATTTCAGACAATTGTTACTTTTCTTGTTATTGAGTGCAACGAGATACAGTGCGGATGTCATGATTTTCAATGAATAACAACTTAAATTTGGTTTTTCAGAAGTTACATGGACCACATTTATGATACTTTTATGGTGCTTTTGTGTCATTTTTGAGAGATTGAAATTTCCAGTCTTCATTTATTGTAATTGCGTGAAAAAAAATCGACTTACTCTGTATAGTCTCACAAAAATCGTCTTTGTTTTCCACAAAAAAAAAAAAAAAAAAACTAAAGTCAAGCAGGTTTGAAAAAACATGAGAATTAAAATTTTTGAATGGACTTTGAAGTTGTATCCCCTCCATTGTCTCCACGCTACATTCTGATTTACAGTGTGTGTTACTGTAACACTCTTTTCGCCCATAAGTATTATTCCATTCAGCTGTCAGCCGTCGGGACAGCCACAAGGGTGTATTTTAAAGCATGCTACCACAGCAGCGCTTGTGGCATAAATATTGAGGTGAAGCACACGCTGTATTAAATTCATACAGGTCAGCTTCGTAAATTAATCCAGCCCGGACAGAGTCCCATCACCCGTTTCCCTGAGCTGAGACATCACAAGAAGCATTGCGAGACCTCAAGGCCACATCTATGCGATTTCGGATCACAAGATCCCCCTCAGGCGTTGTCGAAGGCCCATCCTGCCCTTTCATTTTCCAGTTCAGGGCCTTCTTTTTTTGCAGATAAATGCTCTCCGATGTAACGTGACAGATGTCACAATACATCGCTTCTATTTTGATACTTACCCTGTGATCCTGCCACAAATGATAAAGAGCGCACGGGGCCCAGACAACGTGCTGACACTCGTGATTATTTTAGAGCGCATCACGACCGTGGCGAGACACAGAGCCGGCCAGGTTCCAGAGCGAATCAAGGAATATCAATACGTGCGGGTCGGAGTCATCGTGGCATCCGGGGACTGAGGGAGACTCAATTGACACATCCATCCCATTGACATATATTCAAAAAGATCAATGCAGTGATAAAGTTGGAGGTTTAGTTGAATGACACTGCTGAAGCCCAATCTGATGAGGCTACATGAGTTTTTTCCACAATCATGGTTTTTGGAGGAAAAGAAAATCAAGCAAAAACTGACAACCACTGCGTTAAATAATTGAATTGTTCAGTGTTACGTAATACATTTTGAGATTTTGGTTTTCATAAAGTGTCATTTCAGAGGAGTGGAAAGAGTAGAAAGAAAACACCCAAAATACTTTTTTAATTGTATTGCGCTTAATCTGTTTGCATCTAACATGAGAATTAAAATTTTTGAATGGACTTTGAAGTTGTATCCCCTCCATTGTCTCCACGCTACATTCTGATTTACAGTGTGTGTTACTGTAACACTCTTTTCGCCCATAAGTATTATTCCATTCAGCTGTCAGCCGTCGGGACAGCCACAAGGGTGTATTTTAAAGCATGCTACCACAGCAGCGCTTGTGGCATAAATATTGAGGTGAAGCACACGCTGTATTAAATTCATACAGGTCAGCTTCGTAAATTAATCCAGCCCGGACAGAGTCCCATCACCCGTTTCCCTGAGCTGAGACATCACAAGAAGCATTGCGAGACCTCAAGGCCACATCTATGCGATTTCGGATCACAAGATCCCCCTCAGGCGTTGTCGAAGGCCCATCCTGCCCTTTCATTTTCCAGTTCAGGGCCTTCTTTTTTTGCAGATAAATGCTCTCCGATGTAACGTGACAGATGTCACAATACATCGCTTCTATTTTGATACTTACCCTGTGATCCTGCCACAAATGATAAAGAGCGCACGGGGCCCAGACAACGTGCTGACACTCGTGATTATTTTAAAGTGCGTCACGATCGCGACGAGACACGGAGCCGGCCAGGTTCCAGAGCGAATCAAGGAATATCAATACGTGCGGGTCGGAGTCATCGTGGCATCCGGGGACTGAGGGAGACTCAATTGACACATCCATCCCATTGACATATATTCAAAAAGATCAATGCAGTGATAAAGTTGGAGGTTTAGTTGAATGACACTGCTGAAGCCCAATCTGATGAGGCTACATGAGTTTTTTCCACAATCATGGTTTTTGGAGGAAAAGAAAATCAAGCAAAAACTGACAACCACTGCGTTAAATAATTGAATTGTTCAGTGTTACGTAATACATTTTGAGATTTTGGTTTTCATAAAGTGTCATTTCAGAGGAGTGGAAAGAGTGGAAAGAAAACACCCAAAATACTTTTTTAATTGTATTGCGCTTAATCTGTTTGCATCTGTAGATTTAAATTACAGTATATATCTTTAAAGTCTGTTTAGCAATTTTGTTTTCTCATGCACTGAGCCAGAAATCTCCAATTCAGCAAACTTTACAGTTTTATTCCTGTATGTATTCTGAAGGTTTTAACTTGGTTTTAACTATCATTTGCATGATTTAGTAAAAAAAAAAGAAATAAAAAAAATTCTGGCTGTTGAGAGTATTTATAGAATTGTACATAAAGAAATATCAAAAATTTTCTCTGTAAAAACCTTTGAATACATCAACAAAATGAAACAAGAATTTTGAGCCTGGCTTTATCCAGTGTTCAGATTTCTGTTCTGGAAATGTATGTGAACTTGTGCATATTTAATTACATGCCTCATTTGCATATTTAAACATACGATTTCAGAAAACTTGTACTAAAAAATTCCTAAATGATCCATTTAGGAACCGACCACATCATTTCATCAGCCGATTCGTTCAAAACACACTGAGTCATTCAGCAACAGAATGAGTGTCTTTAAGAATGAATAATATACTCAACTGAATCGTTCAAACTGATTCATTCCGGGTTGAAACTCCTGTGTTCTCTGAGGCGCATGTCTGTTTATCTTGCTTTGGAAATTTAATTTTTCTTTTAATTAATTGTAATTTTCTAAAGTGCCCCTATTATGCCATTTTTAAGGTTCCTAATATTGTTTTGGGAGTCTCCTACAATAGGTTTACATGCATGCAAGGTCAAACAATGCTTTCATTTTCTCTAAATATGCATTTAATATCACCTCATTTTCCAATGATTCATTCGAAAGCAGTTCTAAAATTCAGTCTCTCTAAACCCCTCCTTTCTGTGAGCCTACTCAGCTCTGATTAGCCAGATGGCCCAGTCTGTTGTGATTGGTCTACTGTGTGCAGCGCGTGTCGGAAACAATACACCCATTGCCATAGTTCCGTATTTTGAACACTCGATAGAAAATATAAACATCTATTATTTATCATACTTACAGGCTGTGATTCAGTGGAGCCAACTGGTCCAAATAAACTGGGTGCTGAGCCATGTTTGAAGAGCAAGGGTTTTGTGAATCCCATGATAAACTCCCCGAGATTAGAGAAGCAGTTGTTAGTAAAATTATGTGTTTGGGGGTGGGTCAATTTGTTTGCAGCAGTCCAACATAGAACATTGGTGCGTATTATGCAAATATGTTATACAAATATGTTGTAGCCATCATGGAAGTGGGATTTGATTTACCAACAACTCGTTTACGCTGTTCAGAGTCAATTTTTTTTTCTTTTGGGAGACAATTACTTTATTTATCTTACACTTTCGGCTTTACAGCTTTGCAGATCGTTTGCATTCACATACATGCTGCATGAAAGGCAATAATCGAAATGGCGTTCTATAATCACATTTTTGTTGGACTGGCCAAATTAGAAATGAATTCACATTTTATACAAATTCTGTTTTTCATCTTTCAATCTTATTTTTTAATTGTTAATTATGATGAGTTTGAATAGACATGCTTACAACCCTTATAATATTCGATAGAATATGCCACTGTGATTCGCTTGCAAAAGTCGTCAGGATTTGAAATGATTTAGCCAGTATCACCTGGCATAGTGCCCTTTATAATTTGTGATAATCATATTTGTATAACATTCAAGATTTCAGCTCAGTCAAACAAAGCATTATCTGTGAGGACACTCAATTACCATAAACTAAACACAGAACGGGACCAAAACAGCTTGCATTAGTTTGAATTCCAGGTCAGTGGTAGCAGCGCTCTCAGTCTATCTACACCCTCCAGAGTTTCGTAGAAAGCATCGTCTCTTCGCAGTCTGCTTCTTCCTATTAAACCAGGCCTCTAAGCACGACAGCTTAGTGCTATCACCTCAGGCCTACCCACCATTTCCAACATGGGGATGAACCCAATTATCCCCCAAATTAAAATGAACAGACTTGGCACGGGGAACAATTACTGCTGCGACTCCATTCCACAAGCTAAATGGGCCAAGCAAAAGCAGTCCCTGTTTGCCCATGCTGGCCAGGGACCAAAAGTCTGAGTAGTATTTGGGCTGTGCTTACAATAGTAATGTATTTGGGTAATGGGCAGGTGAGAGGTTACGCCAGTCATTTCGTTCGCTCTGTTTTTCTTTGCTTCAGAAGACAGGAAGCTGTTCGTCGGGATGCTAAACAAACAGCAGACGGAGGAGGACGTGTACCGTCTTTTCGAGCCCTATGGAGTCATCGAGGAGTGCACTGTGCTAAGAGGTCCGGATGGAAATAGTAAAGGTGAGGTTATGTCACTTTTTATGGTATGATGCTGTGTTAGCAGTCAACATAAAATTGGGCTTTTTGCTTTCTTATACAGACTTCTGGTCATATTGTGTCTAGTGCTGTCAAATCAATTAATCGCATCCAAAACAAAAGTTGTGTGTAATGTGTATATATTTGTATGTATATATATATATATATATATATATACAAATACATATAAATATATATTTAAGAAATATATATATGTAAAAAACATATTTACATATATATATATATATGTCACAAGATCCTTCAGAAATAATTTTGGTTTAAGTAAGATTTAATAATAATAATAATAATAATAATAATAATAATAATTATTATTATTATTATTTTTTAGCAAGGATACATTAAATTGATCAATTTATAATTATATTTTTATTTATAATTGTACGCAAGATTTCTTTTTTAATTAAAAATGCTGTTCTTTGAACTTTTTATTCTTCACAGAATCTTTAAAAATGTATCACCGTTTTCACAAAAATGATAAGCAGCAAAATATGATAATAATAATAAAAAACATTATTAATCATTTATAATAATTGAGACGCAAATCAGCATAATGATTTCATATGACTAGCATATGTTTTTATAAAGGATCGTGTGACACTGATGGCTGGAGTAATTGCTGCTGAAAATTGAGCTTTGGCATCAAAGGAATAAATTACATTTTAAAATATATTAAAATAAACAACTTTATAAAAGGGTCATATGACGTTGCTAAAAAGAACATTATTTGTGTATTTGGTGTAATGCAATGTGTTTACGTGGTTTAAGGTTCAAAAAACACATTTTCCACATACTGTACATTATTGTTGCTCCTCTTTGCCCCGCCTTCTGAAACACGTTGATTTTTACAAAGCTCATCAGTCTGAAAAGTGCGGTGTGCTCTGATTGGCCAGCTATCCAAAGCGTTGTGATTGGCCGAATACCTCAAGCGTATGGTGGAAATGTTACGCCCCTTACCATACTGTGATGCCCTATGTCCCGGGTGACGAGACAAAAACAATAAAACCCATTATAAACGAGGCATTTGTTGCATCCAGTGGGGACATAATTACTGATTATGATGACTTGTTCTGTCTTTTTACGTTTTGCGTTGCATCGCACTGCGTAAACATAAAACCATGTCTGTATTTGTGATACAAACAACAAGCGCTTATCTACACTGCTCAAAACTCGCATTTGAATCATCAGTGGCAAATTCTTTAAATATGAAAACATACTTACAGTCTGTGAGTCAGAAGCACTAGAATGTCCTTGCAAAGTTGGAATTGCCCCACTTTATAGAAACAGCCTTTGTGCACAGCCGGCATTGTAGGCTACTCTCCCAGGTTCAGGAAACACTCAAACTTAACCACTGATTTCTAGTTGTCTAACAAAGTAGTTTTGCTTTTGCGACGAAACACACAGCGTCTCCATGACATGGTGGCAGCGGCAACAATACTACAGCGAGAATAAAAGTTACGCCTTCTTTCTTTGCGTATACATTTGGGCGGCGTTATGCAAATCTTCCCACACAGTGACGTAGACATGTGGGGGCGTGTTTGAATGAGGCGTTTTAGGAAGGCATGGATGAGTCTTAACTTTTATAAAGAATATCTCTTTGGGTTTGAGACTTTAGTCTTTGCAACTTTAGGGATCTTATCTATTCACGAACAGCTTGTAACACTCCAAAGACAAAGGAAAACTTGAAATCGCATCACCCTTTAAAATTGTACTATTAAAAAAAAAAATGTTATCAACTAAATGCAGCCTTGGTGAGCATGACTTCTTTTAAAACATAAAAAAATATGAAATGTTACTCACTTTTCACAATCATTTCTGCCAGATGAAAACAAACCTCTCCCTACTTTTTTTTTTTCTTTTTGCGTATTCTTAAATATAATGTTACAATTTTATATCGACATTTTATGCTGTCCAAGAACCAACAGTTTGTTCTGAGTTGTCGCCATTCAACATTAACGACTCATAGGAGATGGAGAAAAAGCACATATTTGAGCATTAAACTTTTTATAGACTCCATTGTTTGCCCACCGAGGCTTTAGGGACACTGTAAGACGCTAATACAGCCTGGCATTTGGAAAAGCACTGTGGGAGTGCAAGTTTTCCCCTTGCCAGTGTTACGAAAATTGCTGTAGGATTATTTCTGCTACTTAGGGGGTGGATCTCTGAATATATCCAGTCTTGTGGAAGAGAAGAAAAAGATAGATGTCAAAACATTCCCTGTACAATGAAACAAAAACAAACTACATTTCATTTAGCTCCTAATGTGTTTAATTTCAAACCCAGTTTCTGGCAAAAATAGAGCTTAATTCTTTAATAAAAACTGTATAAAACACGTTACGCTTGTATAAGGCACATTAAGACCTATCCTTAATATTTTGACAGCTTCTTCAACAGCTTGCAACACGACTGCTCTTGAATCCCAAATGGGTTTGAATTCTCGTGATGAATATCTGTAGCAGCGTTTAAATCGATATCAATTATCCCGTATTTTGCGTTTTGTTTGCATAGATGGGCATGTGGCAGTAAATAGCACGCTTTTCACATCAGTACAGTCTCTAGAGGAGCCGCTTGCTTACCGTTGGAGGGCTTTCTGCCTCTCTAGTGTTTTAATGTGCTTCTCAACACTGTAGTTAAAGTGTTTGTGTGCCTTTGTGTGTGTGTCTTTTTTCTATCAGGCTGCGCCTTTGTAAAGTTCTCCACACATGCCGAAGCTCAGTCCGCAATCAGCGCCTTGCACGGCAGTCAAACCATGCCAGTGAGTACACACTCCTCTATAACACACACACACACACACACACACACACAAATGTGAAAACACATTTTCAGTGTTGCACTTTTTCTTTGTACTTTCTTTCTACTTTGATGTTCCTCCTGCAATCAGAGGTTGTAATGACTTTCATACAACTGTACATTCTGGGGTCACTGTATTATTATAAGGGTTACATAAAAATCTTGTTTTTACTTCCTAGAAATGTAATTTTTGTATTCTCTAGGTTTCATGTGGTTTTGAAAAAACTTCAAATTAAAAGTTTCATTTTAAAGCTTCTATTTATTGACTTGACAGTTACACTACATGACATTTTTAAAGAATTAACTCAAAAATGAACATTTTGTCATCATTTACTTACCCTCATGTCATTCCAAACCTGTATGAGCTTCTTATTCTTAGAAAGAATGCTGGTAATCAAACAGATGATGGTCCCCATTGACTTCCATAGTATTTCTTTCCCTAGTATGGAAGTCAATGGGGACCAACAACTGTTTGGCCACGTTCACACAGCAGCAGAATACGGTTGTCAGTCCTGTATTTGTGTCCTTAATACGGTTACGTTCACACACATTTCGGTTATTTACGGGCGTGACAACCGCATTCTGTAACCGAACTCACACCTGTAAATTTTCAGGATTCACAACCGCATTCTCGGAACACACGCGCTGTGTGAACGGAACAGGACTGGACAACTAGTTGTCTATCATGTCATACAGTGCGAGAGAGAGCCGCTCTGCCGCACAAACGCGCGTCTACCGTGTGTTACGTGTTTTCTTGTGTGTTTTCGGTAACGTTTTAGAACGTTAGTCACCTGAACGTTTTAGATCCCGTCAGTTTTCCACCAGAGCCGCTCCCGTCAGTTTTGTGTTCTGCGTGCGTTTCAGATGCTCCGCTCTCCATCCAAATTTAAAAGCTGCTGTTAGTTAATGAAAATTTGACGAAAGAACTCGCGGCTCGATTGGACTCTTGTCATGTCAGAAAGTGATGACTTTCAGTTTTATGGACGTCGCCATCTTTGATTTTACTTTGGTCACTGTCGCTATGGTTACTGGTAAGGAAATACGGGCTTGACTCCCATTGCACATTCATACAGACAGTATTCTAAACACAACTGTAAGCTGCTGTGTGAACTGGACATTTCGAGACTCATACCTGTAAAGAATATGCAGTTGTCAATCCCAAAAACTGACAGTGTGAACGTAGCCTTTGTTTCTTCAAAATTCTTCAAAATATCTTCTTTTATGTTCAACATAAGAAAGAAACTAATACAGGTTTGGAACGACATGAGGGTGAGTAAATGATGACAAAATTATAATTTTTGGATGAACTATTCCTTAAAAAATGTCACGTGGTGTAACTGTCATGTAAAAAAAAGCAATTTGACAATTTACAACCTGAAGTAATCTTGCCTTGTTATACAGGCATAAAAAGAAAAGCATAACAAATAATTATGAGTGAAATTGCAGGGATGTATATATATATATGTATATATATATATACACACACATTTGTCTGTCAAGTCATGCGGTGTGACCAACAATGTTTTTGTAGTATTAGCAGTTATGTGGTTAGATTTTGTGTGTGTGTGTGTGCGTGTGTTATAAGATTGAATAATGATTGTTAGTTTGTTTGTTTGTCTGTTGGTCGAACCACATGAATTGCTGCCAGACAAAGGTTTTTCAAATATTTATCATATAATAAGCAGAAAAGGTTTTGTTTTTTTGTATAGTAGTAGTAGTAGTGAACAAGGCAATCAAATCGATTCCAAACAAATAAGAACAAATCAGTCACTTCAACTTACGACCTGCATATTTGGCCATATTGTTTTGTTGAATAGCTGCATTGCCAGCATATCAGCACGTGGCCTTTGTCCGGCCGTTTCAATCTTGAGGACTGGACGCTGAGCCATAAAAAGCCGGCTATTCAGCACAGTCTGTCTGAATCACACAGCTATTCAGTCACACACACATCAGAAGTAGCTCACACGCTGCTGCTTTATTTGCTAAAAGACTCCGGCTGGATACAGACGAGCTATGAACTGTCAAAATGCATTTGAGCTTGTGCTCTTTTTTTTTCTTTTTTTTTTCGTTTTTAAAGAAACAGTTGACCTAGAAATTTAAAAGAAAATCTCAAAAGTCATTATTTTCCACTCACCACAGTGTGATTCCAAACCTGTTATGACTTTGGAACACAAAATTAGATGTTTTGAAGACGTTCTAGTCTTTTTTATTTAAACAAATGCACGTAAAATGCCACTTTAAGAGAAAGAAATGCACAGAGAAGCTGCACGAGAGAAAGATCTGTGTTGTGATCTGTTCTCTTTATAACCTTTAGGGTCAACCGAGGTGCAAATGATTCAGGAACATTGAAATGTAGACCACAGTCCTAAAATCTTCACCTCACACACACGCTCAGACATCCTTTCCTCTCTCTCTCCCCTCTCTCCTTCCCTCCATCCTCCCGGGACATTAGGCAATAGACTTGTTTACCTCACCTTTCACCACATTGACTGGTGAATTATTCATTGGCATGTACTGAGGTGGGAGTGGAGGAGAGAAAAAGAGAGAGAGAGCGGGAAGGAACGCGAGATAGAAAAGTAGAAAGAGAGAGGTGGAGAGACAGGGAAGAGTGGAGGAAGCTCATGGGGGAGGGATGGAAAAGGTTTATAGTCATCTCAGAAGGTAAATTGATTATGGAAAACCTTACTGGCCTCCATTCTCTCGAGTCTGAAGTTGTAGAGGGAGGGGTCACGACTCGCGCGGCTCCCAGGTGCCAAAGTGAGATACTTAGCTGAGATAATGGAGTTCTTCTCAAGACAGGGCTTGATGAAGTACTCATCCATCTGTAAACTCTTCAAAAGATGCAATGGCGAACTTACCGAACACCCACCAGCCTCACACGCCCTCGGTCCACCAGCAGCTTGCAGTTAAGGAGCACTAGCACCAGACACGATCTGACAAGTATATTTTCATAAGTAATACAGTTTTTTTTTCTGCCGTCAAAGTAAAATATTCTGCGAAGTGACAAAATGGCAACCAGTCAGAACATATTTGATTTTTCATTTAAGACAAACAGGACTTTTACATTGCGTAAAGTGATTGGAACAGAAAACGCAAGATAAATAGATGTGATGCGACAAGTAATTTGTTTGTCTGGACTAAAGTGCAATACAGAACAAAATGACAACCAATCAGAACATATTGGGTGTTTCATTTATGAAAAACAAGACTTTAGACTAATAAAACGTCACTGTAGGCGGAGCTTTGTTGTGTGAAATAGGTATGATGCAACAACATTAAAGCATCAAGTAATTTGTTTATCCAGGGGTAGTCGTGGCCTAATGGTTAGAGAGTCGGACTTGTAACCCAAAGTTTGTGAGTTCGATTCTCTGGTCCGGCAGGAATTGTAGGTGGGGGGAGTGAATAACCAGCACTCTCTTCCACCTTCAATACCACGACTGAGGTGAGACCCTTGAGCAAGGCACCGAACTCCTAACTGCTCCCCGGGCGCCGCAGCATTGGCTGCCCACTGCTCCGGGTGTGTGTTCACGGTGTGTGTGTGTGTTCACTGCTGTGTGTGTGCACTTGGATGGGTTAAATGCAGAGCACAAATTCCGAGTATGGGTCACCATACTTGGCCACACGTCACTTTACTCACTTCATTAAAAAATTCAATACTGAACAAAATGACATTCAAAACATATTTGGTGTTTAGACTAATCAGATTCCAGTGTAGGCGGGGCTACACTGTGTGAGGTGATTGGAAAATAAATTGCGTCAGAAATAGGAGTGATACAACAAATTTACAGCATCGAGTAATTTGTTTGTCCAGACTAAAAGCACAATAGTGAACAAAATGACAACTGATTGTTTTATTTTAATTTATGAAAAACAAGACTTTGGACTAATGAGATTTCACTGTGGGCAGGGCTACGTTGCATGAAGTGACTGTAATAGAAATTGCAGCAGAAATAGGTGTGACTTGACAAGGATATTTGAAAAGGATTTTTATAACAATGAGTTTTTATTGTGGACGAGGCTGCACAGCATAGAACAACAAAACTTGAATTAAAATGGAAAAAATAGCTTTAATCTTGTCACTTTCTGTTCTGCCTAGTTAGGAAGAGCTAAAAAAAGCTAATTTTTCTTTTTAATGGTACACAATGAAAGTGAAATACTGCATGAAATAAAATCCCATCCAGTCAGAATTTATTTGATGTTTAATAAACACTCAAACTTTTTTTAGTCAAATATAAATCAAATAGTATTTTTGACAAATGGGATTATAGTGCGGGTGGGAAATCGGTGCGTGATGCAACAAATAGAAATTAAAAACTTGAATAACATAGAAAAAAATAACATCGCTTGATGTTTTAGTGTTACAGAACAACAAAATGTGTTTTTTTTTTTTTTATTGAAAGCTAAATTACAGCTAAATGTAATTGATATTTTATTTACAGCCATTTGAAATTATTTGGACAAGTGAGATTTCAGTGTATAGAAATAGAAACAAAAAAAACTGACAAAATGTGTAATTGCTTTTCGCAATTGTGGCAGATTAAGACCAAACTCACAAACGTGCGAAAGATTATCATTTGCTTCTTTATTGGGTTGCACAAATACACCAACAAGCCTCTCACAACCTCAGTTCGCCCTCAAAGAACCAAATGCAGCTTATAGTTATTACAGTAAGGAGTCCAGTGAAGAAACGAGTGCTAATTCATTTTAAATACGCATGCATAAATCAGTCTGCTAATGATGTGCTCGTGGGCAGCAAGAAACTGGCCTTATTGCAGAACTACTTGACGCTTATAGTCGGTCCAATCTTATATTCGGCTCAAATCCCCCCGGCTCATGGCAGTCAGTGCATTATCTTCATGCACACACATGCATGCACGTATGCACACGCTGCCTCCTTTCTATGTTTGCCCCTCTTTTCTGTCCATTTCTCTTGCTGGCACAGCCATGAGGTCACAGCTACATACT